TTTAAATCCTCCTTGATTCATCAATCGATTCGAAAACCTCATTGAAGGTTTAATCAATCCTTCTTCGATTCTAACATAATCTGATAAATCTCGATCTGGATCTACTTTAATCCAATCTGGTGGAACTTGAAAACTACCAACTTGAATCTCTGTATCACTTACAGCAGGTTTAGATCTAAAGAAATCAAAAAGTTAAAGATCAATGATACCTTCTACAAAAGCAGATGATAGTTAGACTTACCCTCTTGTCACCCTAGCATAGCCAACTCGTCTCAACCCACGAAACAAGATATAGTCACACCTGATAATCTCTCAGTCCAATCAGTTATCCTCATGATCAGTAATAAATAAATGAATAACTTACCATCGATCAAAATCTGATCTTTCAATATCCAACATTTGTCCATCTTCTACTAAGATTTGATAAGGAGCAGGTCTAGGAGCATGAGGTTTACTAACTACATATCCTAAAAAGATAAATGGTCTAGGATATGCTTCTCTCATGATCCTTGCTAATTCGATTGATTGTAATTCTCGACTATCGATTAAAAAAATGGTTTTGCAAGAGACAAGATCAGAAACAAATGGACAAAGATGAATTGAAACCGTGAAAAAGTAACTCAACTCTTTTGGATCTTCTTCTTGTCCATTATGACTAACAATCACATCTATCATTGTGCCAAATACATCTAAAGTCGCATGTATTGCTTTTTTCACCAGATAATCACATTCACATTAGTGTCAACTTCAAATTTTCAAGAAGAGAGTCCGAATAGAAAACACACCAGGTGCGAGTTCACCTTTGGGTGAAGGTAATAAATGATGAGTCGAATTGACAATAGGGAATTTCGAAAGTAAAGCTGCTCCCTAGAAGCCATGATTTTATAGTTGCACCGAAAATTGATGAAAGGTAAGGATTCTTCATCAATGAGATCAGAAGAAAGCAATAACACAAACCCAGGTATGTTTGTTAGGTCCAGGTCCAAGATCAACATACATTCCTAAATCCTCAGCAATAAATTGAGTCCTAAGAATAAGAGATAAAAAGATTGATTAATGATCTCAGAAAACCAATACCAAAGATTCAAAGTGACTCACAAATCTCGATTTCCCATCACAATCCTTTGTAAATCACTCTCTAAAAGTCCTATGACATCTAACTCCAATTCTTGAAAGATATCTCTCATCCTTCTTTGACTTTCCCACATCCCACTATTTAATTTTGTTTACAAAGAATCAACAAATGAGCTCTCAAAACAATCAACTAGCCATGACAGAAATATAATTCATGTAGATGAAACAAACCTGTCAATACCAAAATGAACCGTCCAAATACCAGCTTTCAAGGTTCTATCTTCAGGATGATAAGGTAAAACCTCTTTAACTTTCCAAACGGTCCTGAACCACATCACTAAAACAGCCCCAAGTATCAATGCACCCAAGGCTTTCCTAATCAACCCTTTTTCAACGAAGTCCTCTTCTACAAGTTCATTTTCTTCTTCTTTTCGCTTATCGTATTGATTTCCAAAAAATCCAATCCCAATCAATCCAATCACAACTGCTAAGACAATTGGAGTATGTTCTCTAAAAATCTCTCCTCCAGGTACAAATGCGTATGCAACTGTAAAAGTATGAATAAGTTCAAGTAAATCATAAATCAAAAAACTAATTCCAAATCCAAGTCCAATAGATGTCCAACCTCCGGGACGAGAAAAGTTTGATAAAGATCTAATGAAGATATTCAATTGACTAATACTAAAGATACATAATATCAATCCAGAACTAAAACCTAACCATCCATGGAAAAGTGTTAGACCAATAGTTGAAAGGACTCCAAGACCGTACCAGATTGGATGTGAACATAGATCATTAGGTGAGCCAGTTTCAATAAAGACTCCTATTGCCATCGCGATTATCATCATGTATCCATGCTTCACAGTTGTTGGACCTTTGACCGGATATCCGTCCCAGACCCAAGCAAGCATTGTACCCGAGTCGGTGAAGAGGGTATGGATTAAGAAAAGCAGAGCTCCTAAGCCTATCGATGAACACCACCAGCGCCAACAAGGTGGTAAGACTTCATCTTCCTCCTCATCTTCTTCTCCCTCTTCCTGATCTCCTTCCTCGTCAACTTCTTCAATATCTTCTCGAGATGTCCGATCTAGCGAATCTACTAATCCATTCTTCTCCAATAGCTGATCTCTTTCCTTTGCCAAGATGACTTCCAAATTAGCCCAAAGTCCTAAAATTACTCCAATTCGATTATACCCTCCATTCTTCATCCTCATGATCGGCCACATCGGATTAAGTGAATGATTAGCATATTTAATTAAAACGCTCAAAATCAATCCTAATCCAAAGCCTTTTAATTTCCTTTCAGCTTCTTTTTTAGGTCCAACAAATCCAATCACACTTAAAAAAGTACAAATTCCTACTGAACTAGCTGTTAATTGTAATCGTATTACTGAATCATCGTAAAACCTTTGATCTCGATCTATGATATATGAACCTATACTTAAGAGTGAAAGGATTTGAAGAATTGGTGATAATTTTAAAAGTAGTGTCCGAAGTAATGGTAAACATAGTAAAAAGGGTGCAAGAGTTGAGAATAGTAAAACTTCCATTCCATCCAATCCCTAATAAAAAAATGGCGCATAAAATCATGAGATCAGTAAACCATGGAATAGGACAAGTTTATGTGCCTTCACAGGTCAATTTTTAACACTTTGGCATTTTTTGCCATTAGCGAGATTGTCCGTGTGGAAGGATGACGGGTACATACCATACTCCAAACTGAAAAATAAAATATTGTTGGTCCTAAAGCAGTCAAAGTGGTCCAGAACACGAAACCTGTAAAGCAAAGAGGCACAAGACATATATCAGATACAATTTTTGAAAACCCTTTGAAGGAATTGAACCCCTTTGATAGCACGCTAAACGCTCATCAATCACAAACATACCTAGGTAAATTTCTGCACCAAACAACCTAGCACGTTGGATCTCAGGCGAGTTTAGGCACCATGGAATCATTGAATTCGTAGTTCTAGAGGTACGTTCTCTACATATGCAAAAGGGTTGAAAATCAAACCAAAGGTTTTGTAATTTTTCAGTGTTTGAATAAAAATTCAACCCATATCATACAAGTTGAATTTAAGCAATAAGGAGAACCAAGGATGCAAATCAAGTAAGAATCTTTCGTAAAAGGGTTTTGGTAATAAGGATGAAAAAGAAA